TCTCTCTGCATATATATATATATATATATATATATATATATACCATGATAGAACATTAGATCACACGAAATAAAAACTATTACAATTTCTACTGAGGCCGGCAACCTGTATGCACAAATTCGCATCGACGATCACTTACCAATTAGCGAGGGTTCATAGGAGGAAACAGACAAACTGGCAGACCATCCGGTGTTCATTATGGTTGCAGTCAACCAAGTCACATCATCGACGAGCCATCGATGCGGATAGAGACGTATTGGATATCCGGACTGGAGCAATTGTAACAGTGCCTCAAGCGCCGCAGTGCACACAGTGATTCCATTTCGCGACGATGCGGAATCCAGACAGACCAGGAAAGCGAACGACCACAACTGTTCGATAGATTCAGTCAGTTCGTGCTCTTGAGTGCACAATTGCTCGGCCCATTCGTTTCTCGAAACTGAGGTGTTTGTTTCAAAAAGAGCAAACAATGAGTAGGGAAACTAAAAGCAGGTAACGATTGACGGAGTAGGGACATAACTGAAATAATTCCATACAGCGCAGATTGTGCTGCCATGATTAGGTCATCTATACGTGCCGCCTAATTTCTTTTATTGCACACATTTTGTGTCATGGATAGCAGACGGGCTGAACCCCATAGTCACGTAGACCTGCGTGCTATTCAGTGGTGGAAACCGGCAACATAATCCCCGTGACTTGGATTGGTAAACCACATAAGGCCCCACTAGGATAGACATGGTATTGAACCGGACGACAGTAAACCTGCCTATCACCAAAGTTGGATGGTAGCAGCAGAGTTAGCTATGTAGTCTACTGAAAAGGAAAAGAGTGAGACTCAAGATGAAAGGTGTAACAGTTAATATTTTCAAAGCATAATAGGTAAAATGTCTCCCATTAAACCTATTCAGAGTCCCAGGCACCAACCTATCATCAAAATGTCACTTCTTTGTCCCTCTTTAGTCGTTACAAGACTCAAGTATGTCAAATATTGCATCATCAGGAAGTAGTCCCCCAACTCGAAGCAGCTATATTCAGATCCACATAGAATGTATTTTGAAATGTGGGATCTAAAGAATTCATTTGAACAGAAAGGAGAAAACCTCAGACAAATACGTTTCTGCTAGCTTATCATTCATAAGCACAGTGCGAGAGATTGCTTGTTTTACTTAAAAAAAAGAAGTGAATTTCAAATCATCAAAACGAAAACCGCGAGATAAACATGACTCACACAGCACTGACAACCGAACTTACCAGCGGATTGTGCTGCTGTTTTAATTGCACTGTTCCCCTGGAACCCATCGTCTGGTGCTAAATCGTCACCGTACCCATTCTTGGGTTTCATTGAATTGCTGGTGGGCGGTGATCGAACTGTCGAACTGGAAACTAGACTGCCAGGACGTAAACTAGGCGGCGGATACTCCCCGAGTAAGCCGTTGGGGCTTGAGCTGAGCACCTCATGCCATGCGATTGATAGATAGCGTAGCGTGTTCAACAAACCGCCGCGACGTTGAGAACTGATTGTGCCCATCACACCAGCCAATTCCGCTAAAACGGGGAAAAAGGAGTGTGAATTGCATCCCATTCTCTCACGTGTTTTGTGGTGGTAGTGGTGGTTGCAGAGAGAATGGGCAACTGAGAACAGCGGATCGTACAACAAGATTTGACCGAAATTACCCTTAGTTGTGATGGAAGTTCATTAAACACATTATGATCTGATACAATGATGCAAACCACCGTGCAATAACCCATACATCTGCGACACAAAAATGAGCACTCATTTACCACATTAAGGTTTAAAGTCAAAAGAATTTGATCACGGCAACAGATTTAACAGCTTTTTAAGCATTTTTGGGAGAAACTGAACTCCAAGTACATCGACCAATATATGCCAGAACAGGAAACTGGTTGGCAGCAGTCATCTCGGACAGTTAGCAATCGAATGCATCACGATTTGGTATTCGTATGAGAAAAATCAAGCTGTTCTGTGTGATTGCCAAAGAAATCCATAAAAAGTAAGATAAGACTATCGACAAAATGTAATTGAGTATAAATATACCGATGAAATTCACCTTCGAGGTAACGAGGGAGGTAGACAGATTCGCGAAGAAGATACGGACCCCCGAAATATAACTTACCTAGCACACGCTGTAACAGCGTCTGTAGCAGAGGCAATGCGAATCGCGAGTGCTGACACGTGAGAACCAAGAGCTGTGCCATGGCCCGTCGGATCAGAGCAGTCTCCGACGATAAACGAGTCATCTGATGACGCAAGAACTATGAAATGTGTGCGAACGGGAATGAGATGGCAACACAAAAATAGAAAGAATTCGTAAAAAGGCTTAAAAGGTCAAAAAAGAAAAGGCAAGATAATAGTAGCACAGATAACTGGATAAAAGGTAAATCGACAAACGATGGCTATAGGGACTATTACAGACGAATCAGCTTCCGAATTTTGGCTGGGCCGACCGACGAGTAACTTGAGACAATCGAAGCGAATTAGAAAAAGGACTCAGCACACGAATGGTGCATCATGTGCCGAAGTAGTATTTAAAAGGCAATAAGAAACGATCGATTCAAGTTTGGGGTTTTGTTTTCCGCAACCAATTTGCGTCAGTTGATCATCCCGGACGATAAAAAAAGTGCTGTTGATAGTACGTCGTTCTGCTGTCGCCCAGTTCACTAACACGTCCAATCCATTGAAGCACTATGTGGCTCACCACTGTAAGTCTCAGGGTTGGGCTGCCAGTTTTCTTTCACATCATTCATGGGCAGTATAACACAAACGAACAATCGCATACACACTCCCTCTCTCACCACTCTCTTGCTGCCCTCGACAACATTCCTGGTTTGAATAGAAATGTTGATTCTGTACAACAGTTTCTCCAATCTTCTTCCCCCATGGTTTTATTTTTGACCAAAACACACAGCTTTCCCTCGTCAAACATTACTCATCTTCAGTGCTGCAATTACCAATGGCGGTAGACCCTAACAGTCGAATTACCATTGTCGGAGACTTCAAGGTCCACAACAAGAGATGGTTGAAGAATTTCTCAGACATTTCGTTAATGGGACGCGAAACCGAGGCTTTTGCTAGGGTCAAGGACCTGAATCAGCAGGTGACTTCACCACACGCATCCCTGATCGTATTGGTGACCGCGCCCACACCCTTGACTTCATTCTCACATCCATTCCCTCTTTTTTCTCCAAAATAACTTCCTTTTCCCCAATAAGCTCATAAAACTATTGCCTCGTTTTATTTCTCATTCAGTTCTCTCACCCTATTTCACTAAGTAACTCCAGACGCACCTTCTGGCGTTACGACTCAGCGAACTGGGACGGTTTTCGTGAATTTCTGGCCTGTTAGGAGTTGTTTCAAATCTGATGTTTCCACTTCCGTTTCACAGTTCACAGAGATTGTCCACACTTTTCCAAACCTGGCAAAACCAAAGTCCCCTGAGTGGTTTATTCATGCTTGCAACCGTGCTATACGTTTAAAAAACTCAGCATTCCGCCGTTAGCGCCACTCACCCAACCCAACGTCCCGCAACCGCTTACTGTAAACCAGAAACAAATGTTCGCTCACCATACAGAGAACTAAAGAACACTTCATTTACCGCAAAGGTACGCGCCTGACTTCATCCACCACCTTGGTAACCGAACATTCTGGTCCCTCGCTAAGGTGGTTTCGTGCAATTTCTGCCTCTCCAACCTTCCATCCCAACAACTATCGGCACATCAGTCTGACGTCTGTAATTTTGAAAGTGTTTGAAACCGTTAACTACGAACAGCTGCCTACGTTTCTCGAACGCAAGGGTTTGCTGAGTGACCGTCAATATGAATTTCGCCCTCATCGATTCGTGAATGACCAACTGACTCTCATATCGCATTCCTGGTTAGCTGCACTCCATGATCACGGAGAAACTCATATGGTCTCGCTCGACATTTCAAAGGCTTTCAAACGCGTTTGGCACGAAAGTCTGCTGTGAACATTAACCACATTCGGATTCCACCCGTCACTTGTATCGTGGCTCCAATGTTTCCTCAGCAAGTGAACCATCTCTGTCCAAGTTGATGGGATTCTATCTCGGTCATTCCTTGTGAATGCCGGTGTTCTCAAAGGTTTCATACTCTCGCTCACCCTCGTTTTATATTGCTGATCGATATTTTGTCCAAAACTTCTAATCCCATTCACTGCTTTGCCGATGATGTCACTCTCCACTGTTCTCTTGCTCACCCCTCCCCAAACCGTCAGGCCACCACCAATGTCGATCAAGATCGCAATGTTATTAGAGCTTCTCTTGCCTCCGATCTCGGACTCATCTCCGCATGGGATTCTACCAACCACGCCTTTGAAACTTATCTCCTTTCCGTCTCTTTTAAACAAATCCCTTATTTTCCTCAATTGGTGTTTGATTCCCTTCCCCTGCATTCCAAAAATTCTCTTTCTCATGAGTTACTATCTTTGCCGGTTTCCCTTTATTTTAGCACTGGCCTATCGCGCTGCGTTTACAATCGG